AAGAACTTCTGAGGTTAAAATTTTTGAAAAAGAAATGCAAATTTTAAAAAGAAAATTGTCCTTTTTTAACCAAAGCTTTGTTTTTGCCAAAATACTATGTTAAATTTCTATTAAATATATTAAGCCAGTTGGGCAGACTAAAAATTTAGAGATTAAAAATGCAAATAACTAAGAAGAATTAACATTTGAATGTATTTATGTCAGGATGCTTGGCTGAGACTATCCACAAGTAAGCCTGGTATAAAATGGCCTAGCAGAAAATGCATGAGCCCATATGTCAGCTAGGATGACAGGTCATCGCCTTGGACTTCAATCATCTTGCCTATAAAATAAAGCTGCCTATGAAATGAAGGGGTCAGCCAAGATGAACCTTAAGACCTTCTCCATTTCTAATATTTTATATGTCTATGAATTCGATTCCATAATCAGTTTAAACTATTGTATTTTCATTTTAAAAAAGTTAATCTGTGGAACTTAAGTAAGAACTCCTCCTTTGCATGCTAAATATTTCTCAATAGAGTCCTTTCTTGTCAGGAAGATGAAAACTATGCAATGCATTACATAAACAGGTATAGAAATAAAAGTGGAGATGAAAAATTGGCAAAGTTGAAGCATTTTACAAAAGTAGAGAAATAAAAGTCATGGCTCTTCTGGGTGTCCTTGAGCTGTAAAAGAGAATATGGGTATGAAAGGCAAATGTGAAATTGGCCACTCACACGGCAATTGCCTAAGGTTCACAGGAAAAGGGATCTATTAGAGACCCTACTCACTTCTTTTTTTCCCATCCTATAATGAACTTGAACATTTTCCTTTACTAATTGTTTAGGTATAACCCAGATGGTGATCAGGATTACCTTTTAAACAGATGTGACTGGCTAGGAACTACATGCCATATCTTCTATAAAGTCTAATATTCTCCCATTGATTTCGAAGAATTCCTGGAGATTTAAATTATTGATTGCCTGGCTCCACAAGCTCACTTCTGCTGGATTAGTTTGGGCAATGCGTCAACTTTCCCTTCTTCCACTCGGCCTACTGACCTTATCCCAGCCCACATGTGCACCTCTAGCCTGGAGTGCAGGGCCCACGTTCTCTGCTCTCTTTCTGTCCTCATTCCTTCCTTCCTTCGACACTTCAAATGCTTCTCACGCTATTCTGCAGAACAAATGCAGCTATGTACATCCCCCTTCCAGACAGACCCCCAGCTACACAGCAAGGACCTTGCTCAACACGGAGGCCACTGACTCCTTCAACAGGTTCTACCCTCCTCAGAAGGCAATTTGGTTGTTTTTTTTTTTTGGACAGAGTGTCACTCTGTTGCCCTGGCTAGAGTGCCGTGACGTCAGCTCACAGCAACCTCAGACTCCTGGGCTCAAGCGATCCTCCTGCCTCAGCTTCCCGAGTAGCTGGGACTACAGGCACGCGCCACCATGCCCGGCTAATTTTTTTTATATATATATATTTTTAGTTGTCCAGCTAATTTCTTTCTATTTTTTTAGTAGAGACGGGGTCTCGCTCTTGCTCAGGCTGTTTGAACTCTCGAGCTCAAACAATCCGCCCGCCTCGGCCTCCCAGAGTGCTAGGATTACAGGCGTGAGCCACCGTGCCCAGCTGGCAATTTGGTTTTAAACTGTATTTTTTCCACTATGCTGTATATTAAAATTTTACTTTAATCAGATTTGATAATTTGCAATTTTGGGCCATTCAAACAAAGGTATCTGCAAATCATTCATACGTATTCATTTAAAAGTAGAGTGTCTCCTAGATCATGTCTCATTCACCCAGTGTGAGTTACTCTCAAAGTAATTGTATTTTGTTACCTTTAAAATAGAAATTTCTTACAAATTCATTGGTCTTACTCTAAAGAGTATAAATTAGTGAGAAGATTCTGTACATTATCTGTTTTGTTAGTCTATCCTGAATTTACATAATATTTAATGCAAAGCAGGAATCTATGCAAGTACAGTAAAATAGCACACAAGGCAAAGATATTCAAGTGACAGTGTATATCATTATCATAATATTTTGTTGTGAATGTGTGAAAAGGATACTACTATAACGTCTTTCATAGTATTGCTTTGAGATGGTCATCTCCAACCTTTTGGGTCATATATCTGCAAAACTTTTTTTACTTGTATCCTTGAAGTATTCATTTCATTTGTTTATAAATTATATATATATATATGAACTAGCTAATATTTCAAGGCACAGTATACCTAGGGTGAAGCTTTTCATTTATCCTGACTTTACATAACCATGTAGGTAATCATCTTCAGATGACTTTTCTCTATTTTGTCTAAGTCCTTGTCAGAGGTGATTAAATTTGTCGTTGCTTTTATCTTGCGATGTTGGTGATAGAAAGCTTTCAGATGGAGTAGTAAGAAGCTTCAGCTCTGTGACTTCCACATTGTTTATGCTTGCTCTGTTATTATATCAATGTTATCTTTAATCTATGGGTTCCTTGCATGAATCTTGTCCCTTTTAGGGTTCTTTTAGTTTAAAGGTACATTTTAAAGTCTATAAATCAACTTAGCAGCCCATTCCTGTACATTTCAGGGCACTCAAAGCAAATGAGTGGAGAGGGCAAGCCCAACTCTTCCCTGAGGGCATCTCAGACACTGAGTGAGGTAGAATCCTCTGTCCTACTGACTGAGGGCAAAGTGCCAACCCAGTAGGTAAATACTAGCTAAAATGCTTTCCTTTTTAAAGAAAATAAATACGAATGGAAGTTCCAGTATATCCCCCCATATTGCAATCGATTGTGCATATACATAAACTGTACAACTTATGAGACCAAAGGTGGTAAAAGTATTATTTTTATTCTAATTTTAATCTTACATTGTGATTTACGAGGGTTGCCCGGAAAGTATATAGCCATGTAATATGAAAAATATATTAACAATGGCTGAATGCTTTCCGAACAACCCTCGTATATCTCATATCATGATTTAGCTTTTCTTTTGTTTATTTTTGTTCACTCAACTCATTTTTAGGCTAGAGCTCAACTAATACTTCAATCTTCCACAGCTCTGGCAGTGTTTTGCACATAGCAGGTGAGCATTAATAATGCATGTACACATTTCACTCTAAAATGGGTCAAGGAGTATTTAGTAGTACATCATTGTCAGTCTTTCTGAGGATGGGTGCCATGTATCTTTTTTTTTTTTCTTTTTGGTAATCTTAACAAATTGTTTGCTTGGACCCTATCAGTTTATTACCTTTTATTTATATGATCTAAATCAGTAGTCCCCAGCCTTTTTGGCACCAGGGATCGGTTGCATGGAAGAAAATTTTTCCACTGACTTGGAGGGGGTTAGGGGGGAGGTTTCAGGATGATTCAAGCACATTACATTTATTGTGCACTTTATTTCTATTATTATTACATTGTAATATATAATGAAATAATTATACAACTCACCATAATGCAGAATCAGTGGAAACACTGAGCTTGCTTTCCTGCAACTAGACGGTCCCATCTAGGGGTGATGGGAGACAGTGATGGGTCTGACAGGAGGCGAAGCTCAGGCGGTGATGTAAGCGATGGGGAGTGGCTGCAAATACAGATGAAGCTTCTCTCACTCACTGGCGGCTCACCTCCTGCTGTGTAGCCCAGTTCCTAACAGGCCACGAACTGGTACCAGTCCATGGCCCTGGGGTTGGGGATCGTAGATCTAAATGGAATATCCTTTATTTATTACAACATTATTTAAATTGTATTGTATAATTTGCACAGTTAATTTCTTTTTGCTCTCATTCTACTCTCCAAGTTAGCCATTCATCTCAATATGTCGCTACTACTGATTCATGGAACATTCTTTTTATCCCCTCATTTATGTCCCTCATAAAAGTGTTAATTTTGCTGAGAATCATCCACTATCTGGAGCACTTTCCTCTACCTGTATGATGAAATAGATTGGACAGTGTAGCCCTGTGGGGACTGCGGTGGGCAAGGGTAAGTTCTTGGTTCATCAAGGGTGACAGGAGGGTGGTCCTGATGCCTTTCACTGGTTCATTGATGCCACACTGACAAGATGCCCCTAAAGGAGCCCCACTAACTGGCCCCAGACTTTTAGAAGTCTCTAGAAGTAGAGAGAAGCAACAGCCAGCCATTCCCCCCTTGAGAGGAGCTATATCATTCGCCTGACTGAAGGGAAGAGTGTCGTCTGTCCTTGCCGCACAACAGAGTCTCCAGGGAGCTTTGTAGGAATGCTGAGGTCCATTAAAATCTCTGGGGTGGGAGCAGGTGTCTGTGTTTTTAAGAGCTTCCCAGGTGATTCCACTGCACAGCCGGGTTGAAAGTTAAAGATAAAGAGGATAGTTTGCTGATCAGGTCAGTAGAAGGAAATAAAAAGTGGGAGGCTTAATGAAGGTGAAAGAGCTCAACAGTAGCAAAAGAAGTTACCATTATAACATGGAAAAGGTTGGGAGAAGATGGAAAAAATGCTTAGCTTCAAGTCGAGATAGTAACATATTACTTCCCTTGACCACTCACTGATCACACAAGACTGAGAGATAAGTTGTTGGTAGAGAGAACCAAATATTTATAAATTGATCCAAGAATGTATGGAGGGCTTTTGAGGCCTTTTGGCTTTGGAAGTTTGGAAACTTATTGACAAATAACTTTAACCTTTGACAATCTTTTAGGGGCCTTTTGGTCTATGAATATTTTACTCTGGTATGCACACTTGTACCTGGCTGTTCTCATTTGGCCTAAGAATGCCTTATACCTTATAAGGAAACCTTATACTTAAAATATTTATTTGGTTTTAGAAATGTGTCTTGGCTCTTGGCTTGACACAGAAAGGTAAAGTGACTATTTCTTAACCTGTGCCACTCATTTGGTCTTTATCACGTATTACCCAGCTTGTCTTCAGGCAGCTGTGAGAGCAGGGAGTCTTTCTTTTCTCTCTGTATTTCTGGGATTGGTGAAGCATCTTACACCCAGTAAGTATTGACTGAGCACCTGTCAGTGACCCATGCAAACTCTGCTTTTGTTGTAGGAAGCAGTACAAGTATTGATTAAGCACTCGGCTGATGTCAATGCAAGGGACAAGAACTGGCAGACCCCGCTGCATGTGGCAGCAGCCAACAAGGCTGTCAAATGTGCGGAAGTGATCATTCCCCTGCTGAGCAGCGTCAACGTCTCCGACCGAGGGGGACGCACAGCCTTGCACCACGCAGCTCTGAATGGCCATGTGGAGGTGGGTGTTCTCACCATTGGGAATTGGAACATTCCCTACAAGACCCTCTTAGCCATCACATTCTTAGAGAATGTGATGATAATATTTGTACACCAAACCTTTGGCACCTATATCCATTCTTAAATTTAGAGCCACAGTGCATTGAAAAAGTAGGCTGACAATCTTTTCTTCTGACACACATGCCACAGGGTCTGCTGTGACATCATCTTCCTACTTCGTTAGAAGTCCACATCTCTGACCTGCCTTTAGATTTGTTGTTAATTTGGCTCAGATCACCTACAAGCAGTGAGGAGACCTCATCATTACAGAGTGTATGTTTGATTTCATTGTTGGTTATCTTTCAGATGGTCAATTTACTCTTGGCCAAAGGGGCAAACATCAATGCCTTTGACAAGAAGGATCGGCGTGCTCTGCACTGGGCAGCTTATATGGGTAAGGATTCCATGCATGGAAAGCAAAGTGCAGATAACCTTAACCAAATAAGCCACGGGGCTTTCATTGACCATGAAGGTTTTCTCTTGGGAAAGTCTCACTTCTTTTCAAGCTTGGATTCCAATTAAATGAAGATTCGGTTCATTTCACTGGCATACATAGAGCACTCCGCTGGGCCAGTTGCTATGTCAGAGATTTATTTATACTGTAAAGGAAGAGGAGGAATGAATCACGGCCTGTACCTCTTTGAGTGTGCTTCAGTCTGGATTGGAAATCTGCACACATTGTACTTATTTTAACTTGTCATGGCAGCAAAATAAGGTATTTTAAAAAGAAAGAGGACTGGCTAGCAAAGCAAGGACACAAATTCCATTTGTCTTTTTATCGATAATATTTTTGAAAAAAAAAACCAAAAAGGAAGGATGAGAGGACAAACCCCAGGCTGTTTTATAGGTGGAGGTGACCAGAGTCACTGCACATTATCCTGATACTCCACTGGACAAAGCTGGGGCTTGCAGTCCTCATCTCTGCCCGCTCGCTCAGGTCGGGGAGATGAAGGAAGAGCTTGTATTTTTGTGTTTTTACATTTCACTTTTGTCGGCACAAATGCCATTGACAAATGATAGACCTTACAGAGTTTATTCTCAGTGTAGAACTTGTGGGAAATGAAGAATTAAGATACTCCCTTTGTGTTTCTAATTGGAAAACATCCTGCAATTAGAAAAGAAGACAGGATTCTATCAGCACCAAGTTGTAAATGACCTGAATACCCATCCACAGGGGATTGTTTTGGCAAATTATGGAAGATCTACACAAAGGAACACTCTGCAGTAACTACAGTGATGATTTCCGTGGGTATTTATTAACACAGAAAGATTCTGTGATATGTTAAGTGAAAGCAGATTATAAAACAATATGAATAGTATAATCCTCATTTTCATAAAAAAATTATACAATAACCAATCTGGAAAATATTATACACTAAAATATTAATTGATTATCTTCAGGGATTGGTGATTGTGGGTGATTTTGGTTTCTTTTTGGCACCTTTTTGCCTTTCTGAATCCTTTTTAACAAGCATATGTGCCCTTTGTCATCACTTTAAAAATTAAAGTTAATTGTGTGTGAAAAAAAGAGTGGATTGGGGCAGGAGTGAAATAAATTATGTGGCCATAAATGGGTCTGAATGGATCCTTGGGCTTATAAAACAAGAATCTTAAAATTTTACAAGCATTAGCATTTTTCTAAAAAGGTGAGACATGGCTTTTCAACTTGGTTGAAGCAGATTACCTGTAGGATTGGAGCCAGGGACTGTTAGCCAAGAGAGAGACGTGCAGGCAGAACAGACACTTGAACTAGTGTGAGATAGGACACAAAGGATCTGGGATTTCAAGTTTGTTTTTGCTGATGTATCTATAGTTAAAACATTCAGGTAAATGACTTTAAAGAAGTGAAGTCATTATTTTGTGTGTCATCAGGATGCAAATAGGAAAAAATATATAGATGACTATCTTTAAGGAATAATAGGACAAAACCAGGGCAAATAGATTGAGATAGCACCACTAGTAATTGAAAATAATTTTTTCTCTATATAAGTCTTAGGGAGAAAGAGTCAAATTTTAGTAAAACAAGCCAATACCATCCCTCCACCTCCACACACACACTCGATGTCTTGGAGTCAGTACTTATCTTCTACACTTAATTATCAACTGTGTTTAGAGCAATGACCCTGAAGCATCGAGCAATCTTCAGTCATAAACTAAAGGTCAAATATGTTTATCACACTATTTATAGTGATTATGGAACAGATTAAAATATTCTTAAAAAAATGCCAACAGGAGTTGAAACTAGAAGGGTTTTCTGTTTAGCCACGAATTCATAAGAGTACTTTTAAGTTCAGCCATATGAAATTGCCATTTTTGTGCATCAAAAAAAGTTAAACAGCAGCAATTTCGTATGATTTAACAATAATCCAGGATCATTCTGATCAATTGATTTTTTTTTTTCTCTCATCAGTTTTTCCAAACCAAATTGTCATTGTTAGACTTGTCAGTGGGGAATGTCAGTTGTTTTCAAAATCATTGCTTTCATTTTGACACACCCTTTTTTTAGGCTTTGGTACTAATATCTTGGTGAGATCTTGTCATTCATTGACATGGTGACAAGCATCTCCTAGATCTTCTTGAAGAGAAGGATCACATATGAATCATCTTTTTTTCTTCCTATAGCATTTATATAATGTCCTATATGTGGTAGATATTCAGTAAATATTTGTTCAATATTTGCCATGAACCAGCTTTTTATAAATAGCTCAGCAAATTACTGGTGGCAATAAAAGCTAATAGTGATAATTTAGGTGAAGTGGATCATCGAATTATCCTACAAAGGTTAACGATGTTTTCTGCCGCTTTGTTTATAAAGGCCACCTGGATGTTGTGGCATTGCTTATTAACCACGGTGCGGAAGTGACCTGTAAGGATAAGAAGGGTTACACCCCTCTCCATGCCGCAGCCTCCAATGGACAGATCAATGTTGTCAAACATCTCCTGAATCTCGGGGTGGAGGTGAGCTATGATGAATGTATCACTGCATGGCCTGTGTATTTGTGAGTTTTCTGTTGTTCTGAAATTAAATCCTGTTTGCATCTGACTTCAAAGAGGAGGAAAAACATTTTCTAGCATCCTACCTTTTTGAGTTTACATAGGCAATGAATGAAGGGCCATGGGGGCATAGACTAAATAGTGGGAAACCAGAAACACGCTAACTTTCTATATCAACATAGATAAATATATAGACATATGTATCTATGTGATATAAATTAACCAGCCATTTAAAAAAAAACTGGCTAGGGTTTCTCATCCCACCTTCAGAATCTTGCCTTTTACTTCATGGCTTACATCTGAAATGAATGAACAAATGGCAGGGACAAACAGCAGTAGTGTCGCATGCTGAGCTGGAGAAGTTGGCCTGCCCCATTCTCCTTCAGCGAGCAGAACAGGAGCAGTGGTGAGGCTGGAACATCCTGCCCCCCAGAGGGAAGGAAAACCAAGTTGCTATATTGATACCACGATGGTGAAACCCAGCACCCGGGCCAGGTCTCGGAGAGCAATAGGGAGCCATGGCCTAAACACACCTCAGGACGACGCCGCTGCTTTGCGGCTAGAATGTGAATGTGGCCTGGTGAGGTGTCAGAGCCCAGAGCAAGCCCAGAGTGGGTTCTGAGCCTGACTTCAGTGTTTAGGCTCCGCGGCCCCCTCCTTGCCATCTCCTATCCTCTCTGTGTGTTCACTGTGCCTAACCCTAGAGTTTGGGGCTCTTTTCTTGCTCCCCCTGATTCACTTCTGGTGTTTTGAAAGCAGCTTTCTCTTTCACCCTTCTCCCTTCCCTAGCCAAAAATACCCTCCAAAGGATGCGACCTCTGACTCTTCCTCTCCGGTTCACTTTTTGTCACATTCACTTTTTGCTGATCTTTACCTCAGGGCGACAAGCGTTCCCAGGATGACAGCGCTGGGGCAAGAGGAAGCTGAATAACTGTGTTAACGGATGGATATTTCCTTTCTCTAGACACAGCCATTAGACTTTTTGTGGAAAATGGTATAAATTGGCTCCGGCGATTTTAATTGTCCCATATTGGACTCTTCTGCAGATCGATGAAATCAATGTCTATGGAAATACGGCACTTCACATCGCCTGCTACAACGGACAGGATGCTGTAGTTAACGAGCTGATTGACTACGGTGCTAACGTGAACCAGCCCAACAACAACGGGTTCACCCCTCTGCATTTTGCTGCTGCCTCCACTCATGGTGCTTTGTGTCTTGAATTGTTAGTAAACAACGGGGCAGATGTGAACATTCAGGTACGACACTCTGACTTAGTTTCTCTCTGTGTTAAATACCTTTGCGTTGAGCCTCTGTTTGAGCAAAATCAACTGCTGTAAATTATACTATGTTTTAGTAAATTGTAACCCTGAGCACCTGGATTCACACAGCCTTATCCTGGATTGGAATGCTACAGATAACAGCCGTGTTGTTTCTCCAGGAGTAGTGGTACCAGCTGGAAGGCATTGAGGCTCCAGCCATGTGTCTTTTGTAGCTTAGTGAATATTGCAGGACAAATACCAGATCTCAAGAATGTTGACTCAGCCTAGATTCCAATACTGAGGTGAATGTTGAGTTGATAGGCAGAGCTGCTGAGAATTCAAAGGAAGGCCTAATTAATGATTGTAGGCCTGTTTCAACTCCAGCATGGCCCTCCAAGGAGTTTCTCAAATACCTTCCTAAAGCAAACCCCAGATAGTGGCTTCAGAGATGTAGCATTGACTTGGTCCTAATGATCATTCCTTTATTCAGCATAAGCACTACCTAGTGCCCTCTGTTTGGTACCGGAGGAGTATTCCAAGATGAGATATGATCTCTGCCTTCAAGGAATTTATAGTATGGTAGGGAAATAACGTGCACTCAGGTAATCATGAGGCAAAGAGAACGTGATGAATGGAACAAGAGAGTAATAAAGCATTGCAAACTATAAGAAGCAAGTATCAACTTGCTTCTTGCTTGGGGATCAAAAATGAGGGTAGGTTTTGAGCTGAGACTTGGAAGATTGATATCAGATGAGACGAGGAGGGCCAGGGATAATCTAAGAGAAGGTCTGCCAGATAAAGAGAACAGCATGAGCAAAGGGGGCAGGAGTTGTGGGCAGGAAAAGCTCTGGGTAAACTTTAGGGGACTAGTCAGCCCTCTATGATGGCTAACCAAGGAGAACCTATGCATGCAGCATTCATGATCCGGGTTATATCACTTAAATGCATTTAGATTGTAGCAGAATAGTCTAACCTATGCCAGGAGACCTTTTATTCATCCTTAGCTTCCCTTCTCCCCACCGCACAGGAATCCTGAGGCAAGGTCCCAGTGTATTCTGTCTCTGATTTTGAAAAATACAATTTCCAAGGTGTAATCTCAAGAATATCACATCAATCTATTTTAATGACCTTCTTTATTCACTATTAAAATTTTTAATGTTTTTTTCTCATAATTTTAATAGTGGTGAAAGACAGGACAAATTCTCAGAATGACAATTTATTGCGTTAAATAAAGTATAAATTGTCTAAAAGAAAGGGGCCAGAGATAAGCTGCAATGTGACATAACCAAGGAAGAGATCTCATCTACTGCCCAAGGAGTTTGGCTTCTATAGGCTGTGGGGGCCACTAATCATTATAGAAGTCATAGGATCAGACCTAAGCATTAGGACAGTGATCTGGCCATAGAACACCAAAAGCAGAAAACATGGAAGAAAAAATTTATATATATGACTACATAAAAACCTTTAAAAACTTTTATATAAGAAAGCAGCAACAATGGAAAAACTCTAAAACAAAATTGAAATAAAAACAACTTAGAAAAATTTTCTTCAATATACATGATAAGAAAAGAATTAATATGCTTTGTATAAAAAGAGCTCATACAAATCAGTGAGAAGTCTGACAACTACTAGAAAATGTGGAACAAAGTCAGATCACAAGAGAGACAATACAAAATCCATTAAAGCTATGAAAAAATATTCAGTATCTCCAGTCATTAGAAAAATGCAAACTAATACTAATACTAATATGAACACATACATTTGCCCTAAAGATTGGCAAATATCAATGAAAAAATGCGAGAAACATCTCATTTTTAATTTTAAAAAGTTACGTGTCTGTGTATATGCAAAGAGAGAAAAAATCTCTGGAGTATTGAATCAAATCTAGCTACCAATATGTTAGCAACAGTTATTACTACGGAGAGACAAAATTATGATTTGGATTTTTAATTTCTTTTTTGTATATTTGTTTTTATCTTCTGATTGTGATCACAGTGGGCATGTGTTATTTTTATATCTGGAAGAAAGAAAAAACTATTTTCATTTCGGGTAAATGAAAATCCAGGTGTACTGGACCTAGAAAAGAGATGATTAGATTTTGAATCAAATCTAGCTGCCTTCTGCAGGCTCCCCTCATCTACTCTGTCTGCATGCTCTGATTTCCTAATTCTCTGAGTCCTCCTTAGGTATTCTAGATGTACTCTGGATGCACGAATCATGCAACATTTCCGTAGAGTCGTCCTGTCTGACTCTGTAGGTAGCTTTCTAATTAAAGTTGTTATCTCTCTGTACCACATTGCTCCTTGGATTTTGAAAGTGTTTGTAGATCGCAAGACAATTTGTATTTGTTTAGATTTTCCAAAGGTTGAGGGAAATAGCATATTGAAATGCAGCCAATACCCACCCACATGTTCACTTTGTTTCCACTGTTCTCACAAGACACCAAAAGTGATGTCTTCATGAGCTGTTACAAGATGGAGGGAAAGAGGAGGAGGGATGTGTGTTCTACACTCATTTTGCAGTCCCTCATTTTGCTTAGATTGACCACGGCCCTGTCTTTGACTTTGTAATATCAGTTTAATTGTGACAAAATAATGAAGATAGCATACTTTATAAAATAATCCATTGAAGGTTTACTTGCAATTTGCAAATAGGAAGAGCATGATAAAGTATAAAATAATTTGTCTTCTCCCTCACAGACCACATTGTAATTTCTGTAGCATCTCAAGGCTCTTTTTGCAAGCCTTCGAAGTAAGCATCAAAGAAGGCACTATACCCATAACCACACAACTCAGTGGCTGTACTGGAGGGAAATAAAGCCTCTATGGGATAAATAACACTAAGGCCAGCTCAGGGTGGGGTCAGGTAGAATATAGTCAGAAATCCAGTAAGCCTTCCTAATTTAATGGGAGAGGCATCTAAAACACTGGTTTGAAAAGCTTAGGAAGATGGACTCAGAAGTTGCCATTGCCAGGTTACCACCTCCTGGTCACTAATATTTAGCTTACTCATGGTCTCAATTCTTTTCTGTCCATGGGCCCTTGGATCATTTAGCCCCAAGAGACTGGAGCTAAAGCCTATCACATGTCTGCTAAAATGGACCAATTCCCTTCTATATATTTGCCAGGACCAAATTACAGAATGGGTTGCATTACAGAAGTTGAAAACTGAAATAGGCAAGAGGTAGGCAGTGATAGGGACATAGGGACATGACACTTGGGTCTTTGAAGAGGAAGTGGGAAATGTCCGACCATGTACCCTCTCTGGCCTTTACAACCATTATAAGCAGAACAAAACAACTTGGACTGTGTATGGCTTTTCAAACCAGTGTTTTAGATGCCTCTCCCATTGAATTAGGAAGGCTCACTGGATTTCTGACTATATTCTACCCGACCCCATCCTGAGCTGGCCTTAGTGTTATTTATCCCACAGAGGCTTTATTTCCCTCCAGTACAGCCACTGAGTTGTGTGGCTCCAGGGGGCACCATGCCACAGGGAACATAGTGCTCTCAAGACCCTGGGGAGTGACAACATCTATGAGTTTAGAGAAGGTTCGTGGGATATTGGAGGATGAGGAAAGAAGGCATTAGGAATGGAAGAAAATGAATAGATTTCTGAGAAGAATGATGATCAAGAAAATTGAAGCATTTAGTTCAAGGATTAATGTTCCTTGGTCAATGTTGAGTCCTACCCTGAAAGAATACTAATATTTGTCATAAAATATTCTTGATCCTCATTAATTTTCCTTTATGCTTTAGGGCTTGACCATGCCTAAATCAATAGAAGGGCTTCTTGCTTGATTAAATGAATTCTCAAAATGACATTTTCAAAGCCCTAAAACTGATGGGAAAATGTATCTAGAAAAATTGGAAGGAGACTAAAAATTAAGAAAAATTTTTGTAAAAGCTTAGAATAAATGGAAGAATTGAACATATCCTCTGCTTTGAGAATGCAAGGAATGTATTATCTTTGTCTGAAGTTTTAGGAACAGCAGCAACAGCCAGTTTCTCTGCATGAAAAATTTCTCAGAGAGATGATGAAACTCAGAAGGATTCTGTAGTCTCAAACTGAATATTCTGAGTTCTAACTTTTAAAGGCTAAATAAAAAGTATTATCCTTTTGAGCTTCATTGGTTTTCAATGGCTTTTTGAAATAATGAGCTCCCTTTGTACCCATGCCATGTGCACAAAGCTGCCCAAAATTGGCTGCTGTGATATTCCTAATGCTTCCTGTCTCCATCTTCCCCACCTCTGTCTCCTGTATCTCTGTGAAGAAAAAAAATCAGCTATGGCCTGGACTCAATGGCAGATGAACCCAGGCAAAAATCTGCAAGGACAGATCTGAAGTAAACATCACCACTGACCATATAGCTGTCCTTTGCATTTTACCTAACTTTGGTCATCTGTTTATTTGTCCTTTACCAGAGGCACAGGCACTCCCAGGGAGAAGAAGGATGTGGTGTTTGCTTTCCCTGAAATGGGACCAGCTTTCCAAACTTCACACTGTAGAAACTGGTTGCTTTGGCTCTCGGCTTATAATTTAGATAGCTACCACCAAGTTGGTGGTTGCTCCTTGGTTAAGCCTTTAAACTCTTTTCCAGGTGTGGAAAAGTGCTTTGCTAAATATTTACGAAGACATTTCCTAAACAGTGAAGTACGTATAGCTTTATATATATTTAATGAAATAATAATTACTTATAGTTTCATATTAAATTTAAGAAAAAATATTGGAGCAAAATTTAAAGAAATAGCACCACCTAGGGACAAGTTAATGTCAGCTCTGCAATTTCTGCCTTCTGCCTCCTTAACTACTAGTCTTGGACTGTCATCACTTTTTTATTGGAAGGGTATGTTTTAAATCCTTATTCCAAAGTAGTTCCCAGGCTTTTCAGTCCTTGGAACTATCTACAGTTCTGACAGCCAAGACAAAGCTCTGGAATCAGATAACTTCTAGGAGCTCTCCTTTGCTCTGTGTCTCGTGCTTAGTGGTGGTGCTGCGTTCTTATTCTCTGGATTGCGTCTCCTTTTCCTCTAAAAATATTATTTCCAGTAAAGCTTCAAGCTTACTTTCATCCTCCTTTCTCAATCTTTTCTGATTTAGGTTATAGTCATATAAGATGGAGACAAGATCCTGTTATTTCTTTTATTCCCCCATCTACCTGAGAGAGAACCTTTGACTATAGTGATTTTTTTTCAATAAAGATGAAGTTACCTCTGTGACTTTTTCCTTAGCACAAAGTGTGTAACTCCTTTCCTTCTTTCTAAGGAATAGACTTATAGGATATAATAACATTCTTGCATTAAAACTTTATAGTTTTGTAAACTGTTTTAGCCCACAGTCTAAAGCAGTGGCTCTTAAACTTTGTATGCTGTGAATGTTAGAAATGGGGACCCTCTTATCCCAACTCCAATTCACTGGGTCTGGGTTAGGGCCACAGAATTCATATTTTTATCAAGAACCCTGGGAGATTCAGATGTAGGCAGTCCTTGGTCCATTCTAAGAAATACTTATTTAAATGATTATTTGTTTTCCAATGTGGAGTTTTTAAACCGAAGAGTCATTTTAAAGCACAGGTATTTGGGTTTCATCACAAAAATGAACATGCATTTTTGAAACCTCATATTTAACCTCAGACTAAGAGAAATGTTTCTCCTGAAACTTAGAAAAATAACAGAGTTATACAGATTTTTTTTTAACAATATTTGAATGAAAACACATTAACTCTATTGGGAATACTTTGGGTCTAAGATAACAAAAATATTTTCTTTTGGGCCTATTGTCAGAAGAAATTCTATAAATAACTGCTCCTTAGTTAAATATGTAGGACTTCGACATTTGGTATAATGGTGACCAGTATATAGATTCTGTGTATTTTCTATGTTTTGGCTTAATCTGTGTCAGAAAGTTCCATAATTTATATCATGAATAAAAAATTTTATAAATTCAGCACACATTTCCAGCTAATCATTCAAATAGGAATTTGCTAAACAGTTGCATGCCTTAATCTTGTGATTCTAATGAGTTAAATAAAGCAAGAGTTTCTCTTTTGGAACAATCAAAAGTGGTTTTTTTGTTTTGTTTTGTTTTTAATGGAACTAGATTGAAGGTGGAGGGTTCCAGGTTAGTTTTGAGAGTTGCAGTGATTTGTGAGAGTTTAGTCAACTTCAGGTCAAACAAGACCATGTAAGTTAACACATCATTTGTCTTTTTGTGTGTGTGCACTATAGACAAAAGTTGGAAAAAAACACCATGGAATAAATCTCCTTCATCAATAGATCACAGGAGGAAAAAAAATATTTTAGGTGGTTGTTTCTTTAAGCTTCTTTAAATTGTGATGTTATGCAGTAACTCAAGAGATCATATACATTTAATCTTTTTCTTTCAAAATTATGTTTGCCTCTTATAATAGTTGATCATACTTTTTTAAAAAAAGAAATTTGAATTGTTGTTTTCTGGGCATTGTCAGCAGTGTCCATAGGGATGTTTCAGACTGATGTCACTGGCTCCTGAGTACTCCATTGTTTTCTCACCCTCATCTTTTTTAGAGTAAAGATGGCAAAAGTCCACTGCACATGACAGCTGTCCATGGACGATTCACACGGTCACAGACCCTCATTCAGAATGGTAAGAGAGATGCTTCAGTAGTGTCTTTATGTGAATAGTTTCTTGGTCTGAGTTTGGCTGTCAGTCATCTGAATGTGAACTTTGATGCTCTGTTTTAGAGTTTTGGTAAGCATAGATTTACATAATACTTTGATGTACTTTGCTAAAAGCTCTTCAATTCCCAGGCAGGCAAAGAACATGTCAGCTTTGAAATTGGGAAGTTATATACTTAAATAGGATCAAGATCCTGTTACTGTTCATTCTGAAATTAATAAAGATAAGTAGCAAACATTTTCTAGCAACAAATCTGAATTATTTTTGGATTTTTAGAATTCACCATAGTTCCCTAAGTTGAAACTCATTAAGCTACTTGGGCAAAGGTAGGAACAATGAGATGACTCAGAGGATAAGCAGGTAAGTACGTGATTTAAAGGATCATAAAATCACAGGTTTGACAGAGAACTTGGAAAGTCACATAATATAGTACTTTTCCAGGCCCACAGCAAAGGTATAATTGAACCATTGGGTTGTCTCTAAAGCCAAAGTACTAAGGAGTGTCACCTCACATCATGGTTCATGCTGCTAATAGGGGGTCATGGCCGGCATCTGTGAGTGAGTTGACTTTGAAACACAACTTCTGTTATCTCAGCAAATCTTAGAGATGATTTAAAAAAAAAAAATCAGGTTTAGTCCAGATCTTAAGCTGACATTCCACGTCTGTCTATCAGTTCCTAAACTATTTTTAGTTGACCCACATTTCTACTTCTCAAAATTCTTATATTAGTCAATTTCCTTGGACCTATATTTTTCTCATCTATAAGAATTTTGGGTGACATACACTTGAATTGTGAGTGGCACTGAGTTATATCTTAGGCACTCAAGTTATAAAACAAAGTCATCATTTGACATTTGGATGGAAGACCAGCCAGTGAAATTATGCTTAGGAAGCAAAGTATCTGCTGCAAAACAAAGAAAATTTATAAATACTTCAGTGAAGTTGTAGGAGAAAAGAAATCCTAACAAGTTTCCAGCAAGCCAAGGAAGGTAAAATGAGAATTAACTGCAAAACACCCATTATTTCTAATTTGAAATATATGCCCTGCCTTTGACATTCATTCTACTGAAAAGGCCACTTTGTTTTATTTTGCTGGATATGAATACAGGGGGGAGGGAATAACACAAGTTTCTCTCTTCGGAGCACTTCTCTCATCCCACTGTGTTTCTCAACTGTTTTTCAGAAACAATGTCCACCCGCTTAAAAACAAACAAAACTTTTAAAACGAAGAAACAAAACTTTTTAAAAAAGCGTAATATAAATTTAATCACTGGGCCTTAGCTCAGGGGCATAAGAAGTTTTGTTCCCTTTGAGAGCGATCCCGAGCACCAGGGGCAAGATTGGAGAGAGAACGATTTTTTCACCTTGTCAGCACTGCCTTCCTACAGGTTCGTCCCTGTGTGCCAGACCATAGTGGCCCTCTCCTGTGCACCAAGGCCATGGCCCATCTCCCCTCTGTCCTGGTAGCAAGCTTACAACAATCCCAGGGGATTGCTGGTTGGTTTGACCTCCGCACGAGCCATCCTGTGGGCTAGAAGACTTCCATGCCCTCCTTGGACATTCTTGCTAGACTTTTGAATTGGGGCAAGACCTGAAAGAGACCCCATCTCTTATCCTCAGTGATCAAGGGATCTTTGTTTCAGAGCCTGTCTCATTCTTGACTGGCATCTTGCTTGTGGTTTGGGTGAGGTCCAGGGGCCTGGATTGATGAAGCAACAGCAGCTATATTATATAGCCTGTTATGTATAATGATAACGCTAACATTGGTTGAGTGTTCACACTGTGCCAGGCACTTAGCTAAACACGCCATATAAATCTTTTCAACTACCCTATGAGAAAGAGGTACTATCATTATCTCCATTTCAAAGATGGGGAAGCTGAGGCAGAGAGGTTGTCACTTGTGTCAGGATACATGGCTAGTGTGTTAAGGAACAGGGATTGGAACACAGGCAGTCTAACATTGGAGACTGAACTACTTACTACACTTATAAACATGATCTCTGGAAGACCAATGATGTTAAAAAAATTTTTTTAACTTGAATTCTATTTACTCTAAGAGTCACTTATATTTGAAGTAGAGGTGTCCCTGTAAAAGGATGATTTGACATTCTCTTCTCTCAATTGACAGTTCTTCGCATTCATAACACATATGAGAGCTGTGAATTCTTCCATTTGACATTTTTTGAAATGCCCCTGGGGAGAAGAATAGGAAGTTCTTTTTTTCCTGTTTGTTGACTTCCTTCTGGAAAAATCCTGGGCTGCTGCCAGGACCATCCCTGTCCAGAGGCTCATGCCCCCGAGACTTGGTGTCCTCCAGCGGGGCACAGCAATAGCCCCTCTGTCCTCCAGGAGCTGGAACGCCAGCACCACAGGGGAACATCTCTCAGCTCCCAGAACCAAGCGAACTTGCTACTGAGGAATGTGCTTTGTATTTATTTATTTGGTTGGTTAAATTGCTTTGGTGTTTGCACTTCGTATAGTATTTCTCTGCTTCCCTGACCGCTGTCCAGTCAGGGTTACTAGTTCTTCACAGTAGCTTTGTAGTTCCAGAGTCATTCGGCTTCGTAAGATAATCACTTAAAAAATACCCTTTTCTTTTTTATTTAGTAAGCAAAGACTACCTCTGCTGTCGAATCGTGTTTTTGTTGTCTGAAGCTGCATTGTCATAGTGAGAGAGGGAAAGGAGCTGAAAGACACAGTCTGGTATCAGGAGGCTTTTGATGCGGCCATTTGTACTAGGCAGCTGCCTCGGATGTGATCCAGCAGATTAAACAAGTTCAAAAATAATGTCTTCTTCAAGAAGCTTTAAAAATAAATAGAGTTTGAAAAGGAAGAGTCAAGTTCTAGGTTAGGATGACTCAGTGTGGGATTTTTGGCTCACAGTCCTTCCAAGGCAACTTAATAAGATGACCATTCTTGTTTGTGTAATAAAAACTAATCTCAGATGAATGCTTAGATAATGCTGATTAATTTTCCCTTCTGACATACCCTGCATACTTCTCAACTCACAAATGTTTATTTTTCTCACTAATTATCAGTGATCAATGACCAACATTAATTTGCAACCTTCAAATGAATAGTAAAGATTTTTTAAAGTTTTAATTACTATTTTTTTTAGAGACAGGGTCTTGCTCTGTCGCCCAGGCTGGAGTGCAGTGACGTGATCATAGCTCACTGCAGCCTCGAACTCCTGGACCCATCTCAGCCTCCCAAATCGCTGGGACTACAGGTGCACACCACCACGGCTGGCTAAGTTTTTAAATTTTTTGTAGAGACACTGTCTTGCTATGTTGCCCAGACTGGTCTCAAGTGATCCTTCTGCCTTGGCCTCCCAAAATGCTAGGATTACAGGCATGAGCGCATGCCCAGCCAAGATATTTAATTTGCATTCCAAGCAAGTTTTAAAGATTTTCAAGTGAAAATGGAAAGGTTTGTGGAGTGATTATAAAATAGAAATACACTCGTCAAGAAGGCCTACTTTAATAGAAAACATATTTCCAAATAACAAATACACAGTCTCTCTTTTATTTTTCCACTGTTACAATGCTCTCCTGAAATATATTTTAAATGACAACAAAAGCATACATAGACAATAATTATCTGTATTTTTACATAGATATATACATATTATATATTGTACTCTCAATGGCTTCTTTTTGGCATAGTGCTTGAGTATACTGCTAATGGGAATGCAGATGGGCACAGCTTTTTGCAAAAGCCATTTGCCGGTGTCTATGAGGAGCCTTTTGATACAATAGTTGTACTTGTAAAAATGTTGCTGAAGGAAATCATGTGAAACATAAAGATTATTTGTAAATGTGTTTATTCCTGTGTTTTTCTTTACAACAGAAAGTTGGGAATGGCCTCAGTGCCTAGTAATTGGGGGCTTGCTAAGTAATTCTCTAAAGCACCACCTTAACCCAGTAATGAAACCTTTTTTTTAATTGTGGTAAAATATATACAACATAAAAATTCCTATTTTAACGATTTTTAAGTGTACAGTTCAGTGGCATTCCATACATTTGCACTGTTATACAACCATTACCACCATCCATTTCCAGAACTTTTCTGTTCTCAAACTGAAACTTTGTACCCACTGCAAGCAATCAAATTTTGCATGTCCCATAATGGAATAACTATGTGTGTGCTGGGGAGATGCAGGGGGAAGTAGGTATCAGCTCTGGGTATTCTTGCTGAAATGTTTAGCCTGAATCTAATAATGAGGAACTCATCAGACAACTCCAGAAGGCAGGGCATCCTGCATGGCTCCTTGGCCTCCAAAAATATCAATGACACGAGAAATGTCAAAAAACAAATAAATAAAAGCCAAGAGGATTGCATTAGATTAATGGAAACTAAAGAGACATGAAAACTAAATACTATCAGAATCTTTGGTTGGATCCTGGATTAAAACAACAACAATAAAATAACTACAAAGTACATTTTGGAGGCAATTGGAGAAATTGGAATATGTCTTAATATTACATAAAATTTTTTATCAAGGTTAAATTTCTTGGGTATGATGATGGAATTGTGGTTATGTGTGAGAATGTCTTTGTTCTTAGGAGAAACATGCTTAGGGGTGAAACGTTATGATGTTATTTTTAAATGGTTCCTCAGATAAATGAACAAACAGATCAATTAGACCTACATGCACACACATATGAAAAGAAGAGAGAAAGAAAGAAATGTAGTGAAATAAAAAGTTGGGGGAAAAGCAGGCAAAATAAAACAAAACAGGATGAAAATACTGTATTATTAAAATGACCGTAAATGATTAGTGTCATAGTTTTTATAAATGGAGGCCTTTTCAGTTTATAGTTCATGCTTTCACCATTTTACTCATCATATTTTAAGGTAGATAATCAGACTATGTAAAATATTTTCCTGAACTCTCTATCCCCTTTGGTCCTTGTGCTTAGCATGAGGTTTATATAGGTTTTTAATTCAGCAGGTAAAATTAAAACTGAATATGTCTTTGGAATGATATTTTATGGAATTTGAGTATGTCGTTCATTCAGAGCAGGAATCTAGTTGTAAGATTTTAGATCCCTAAATAAGACAATGCAGAAAGGTTTTTCAAAAGCATTTCTAATAGACTTCTCTCTATGCAGATATAATACTATTGCTATTTCAGATGGTGACTTGTCCCCTTAAAGAACAGTCTTGTACTTCAGAGCAGAGATGCACACTGGAGTAGAAAAGAAATCAACATTTGGTCAACACGAGGGATTAGCACAGAATGTAGTCTCTGAATCAACCTGAATCTTTGTGTTAAACTTATTAAAATATCTCTTTCAGGAGGCGAAATTGACTGTGTGGATAAGGATGGCAACACTCCTCTCCATGTGGCTGCAAGATACGGTCATGAGCTTTTGATTAACACCTTAATAACCAGCGGAGCTGACACAGCCAAGTAGGTTACTGCAGAAATACGGTAGAATAATTGGCACTTGTGGGAATACTGCCAAAGGGATTCTGCCACGCAGCAGATAGTTCCCATTTATCCAGATTAGGGTGGGTCTGTTCCATTATACCAAACACAAATTAAATTTGAAATAAATTAAGTGACTTTTAATGATGGACATAGGGAAGCACTGATTTTTTTTTTCAGTTACATCCAAGTGTGGCCTATTCTGATGGTTTTAGTTAAGGAGACTTGAACTTTATTCCTAACTCTGCTAATATTTTTCTGTTCTTTTCAATGCTTAATATTAATTAAACAGGAAAAATAAAACATAATTGGACAAATTCAGAATTTATTCAGAGTGCTTGCTCGGTTTCAATGATATGGTTATGTAGGGTAAAATTGAGTAAATCTGCTACATAGGGAGGGGGGAACCTGACTTCATTTTATACTTCAATTCAACAAAAATACACAAAGCATCCATACGAGGCTGTCACAATGCTGGGTGCTATGGGGGATTTCAGAGTAGGTAAGTTACCTAGTTGGTGTCTTCAAGGAGCTCATAATTTTATTGGGGGCCCGAGGCCCACTTAGGACAAAGAGCCATGAAAAATAGCATATCATAAAGTTCTAAATGAAACAGGACTTAAGTGGCAAAATGTTTGCTGTAGACAATATATGCCATAGAACATAGAGAGGCAGTAGAAAGCTCAGAGGTGCTAATTTTCTGAAAAGGCTTCAAGGAAAACGTGAGTTTTAGGTAGGCTTTGGAGGATAAGAATTGTTAATATTTGTATAGAGCAGAGGGCGGCAGCCCTCCCCACCAGACAGGAAAGCAGGGATGAAAGAGGAAGGGACTGCACCTGGGGGAGAGCTTGGCCTGGCAGAGTGGAGGGCACGCATGTGATGACGCTGTGCTCCACGCAAGGGCCCATCGTGGGACGGTTGGGAGCTGGCTTGGGTGGGCACGTCCTGGGCTCCAGTTCAAGCTGCCTCACTTGTCAGCTGTGTGACTTTGAGCTTGTTGCTTTGGTTTCCTCATTTGAAAAATGGGAGTAATAATAGTATCTACCTATAGGTTTGTTGTGAGGATTAAACGTCTTCATTACTATTAAAGATCTCTGGTATATGGTAGTGTGAGTTGTATAAACGTATCTGCTAAGGTTGTTAAAAAGATAATCCATGTTGTTAATAAAAGCTCTTTGAACAGTACCTGGCACATATTAAGCCATCAATACATGTTAACTATTATTTTATTCCTTACTAATATGTAGTAGAACCGACTTAAAGAGGGCTTTAAATGCCTGAATAAAGAGTTTGACCTTAATGACAGAGACTGGGAGGTAACGATAACTGACTTTTTAGGAGAAGGGCAATAGGAGGGCAGTGTATATTAGGAATTCTGTTTTGTTTGTCAAATGTTGTACAACAGAATTGAAAATCTTGCTTGAGAATGAGCCAAAATTTAAATGGCCCAGGGAAGCTATAGTGGGATCATTAAATCAAATGCATAGAGGGCCTGGTGTTCTGGGCTCGAAGTGAATTACTTGACGTGCTCTGGTAGCTTGGTAGTATATAATGGTTTACCTCCATCAGTTCAATGTTAGGTTGGCCTGGGTTCCAGTAACCTCCTGAGCTCCCGGTCTAGTGGTCGAGATAAGAACAACAGCAAATAACCTCAGTGTTGTGAGGTTTGTTACAAAGGAGGTTTGGACCAGACTATAGGAACAGAGTGAGGGTCCCCCAGAAGAGGTGACATTTTAGCAAAAGGAAGACTGCATAGGAGTTTGCCAGGAGGACAGAATTGTGAGGTAGAAAGAGAGGGAGAAGCAAGGAAGGACATTCCAAGAAGAGGGAACCATCTTTATAAAGACACAAATGTGAACGTGTTGAAAGCAGATTTCTAAAGCTGGGTTATCTGATGTGTTGGGGGTGGGGGCAGTAGAAAGAAATGAGGCGGAAAGGCAGGAAGAGCCACATTTACAAGGACCTTGCAAGTCCTGCTCAAGAATTGGATTCCATTCTGAGGCATTCGGAAGCTGTTACAGAATTCTAAGTGGGTGTAGAGTAGGTTGTGTCTAATGATCCCATTTGTGTGTAAGAAAGATCGCCCTGATAGCTGTCCAGACATATCAGAGGCAGTCCAGACATGGCGGAGGCCGTCCAGACGTGTCGGAAGCCGTCCAGACTAGAAATGCTTGGCAGCCTCTTGCAAACATCCAGAGAAGAAAAGATGAGGTCTTGGGGAAGGATGAGGCTGAGGGCCGACAGGAGAGGGAAGTGCTGACTATTAGCAGTGGGGTGTCTCTTTCCAGAGAGAAAGGAATCTGCTTTAAGCCAAAGGAACTTTTTGATTGGGATGTTGCAAGTTAAAAGGAGCAGCTCAGTTTTGTGGGGAAAGCTCTACGCTAGGATTAAGGAGGCTCTTACCAGGCTCTGGAGTTCCCAACCAGACCATGGCTACCCAAAGCCAGAGACCATAAATGCTCAGTGTTAATTAAGCAGAAGTAAAATATCTGGGCACAAAGCAACTTTACCTGTGATATGTTAATATATCAGTGGTATTTTTCTTTCAACTCTGGATTACTTGAGGAGTTTTAGCCAAACTATCGTGAATTTCTGATTTTCTTCCAAACCAGAATCCATTTTAGGGATAAAAATAAACTAGGCCCAATATGTACATAAAATTTCCACCCAAAATCCATTTAATTTAATATGCATGAAGTTCATTTCTTTGTAATTATTTGGCCTTCAATTTATGCAAACACATATCCTGTAGCAAAAGTGCCTTAGAAATGGCATTGTTGTTCAAGTAGCCTTTCCTTCCCTTGGCTGTGCTGTGTCCTGGGGACACAGAAGAGGGAAACATTGTCCCAGCCTCAAAAAGCCACATCTGATTTCTTTTGTCACAACATACCTGGGGGTAAGACTTGCTACTTTCAGTGCCAATGGTTCATTAAGTCAGTGATGGGTGTGTGTGTGTGTGTGTGTGTGTGTGTGTGTGTATGTATGTGTGTGTGTCTGCATGCTTGTGTGTTTGTATGTATGGGAGAAGGGAAACCACCTTAGCGGGAAATATCAAAATGGAAAGGAGAGAAATTAGAAAAGATTAAATTTTCCAAAAGCACCTCAGAAAATCACTATTCTCTGGGTTCCTGATAGGTTTAGTAAAAGGAGAGAAATAGGCCTTGTCCTTCTATAAATAAGTAAACAAATAGCATTTATGAAAATAACTCATCTTCATTCATAAAAAATATGGCCAAATATATTTTAAAAGATCTCTATATGGCAAGTTTTATCATTACTTTCTTATGAATTTACTTGAATCTACTGTAAGCCCTTGGTTAGAATATTCTTTGTTATTCTTTTTGCTTCACTGAACTTTAAGTCAGAGCACTTATTGCAATGTGAATCAGTGCTCAAATTTATGTGGTATCAAGGCCCTTTGGTTTTTCTGCTTGAGCTTTGCTAGGTTTGGAGTACTTGTCTCTAGGATTTTAATTGCCCTTCCACCTTAGCAGTTATGCTCTCAGTTCTTTTTCTGCTTCAACTGCGGCAGAATTAGGGATATTGTAGTTATGCAGATAACTGGCTCTGACATTCATTCATTCATTAAATATTTGTTGAGGGCCTGCTAAGTGTCACCTATTATGCCAGGTTCTGGGATTATAGAGGCCCCTGCCCTCAAGGAATTTATAATCCATTGAGGGCAAGATTTAAACAAGTAATTAAAATCCTTCATGCTAAATGTGATTCCAGAGCAATTGCTGGTTGCTACTGGGATATGGGAAAACAAATCTGGGACCTGGAACCCTGTCTAGCAAGGCCAGGGAGGGCTTTGGGGAAGAAGCAGTGGTTAACCAAGACTAAAGGATGAGTAGTAGTTAGTTTGTAGTAGTGAGAGTCCTTTTAGATCCTCACTATAGATGAATTTTTATTATAATGTTAACTTGAATATATATAAACATAAGACTCGATATAAACTCAGACTTTTGACATTAATATGTCAGTAATTTAAAAAATTACAAAATGCTTACAAACAAAAACCAACACCATTCGTGTTAACTGCACAGCTTAATAGTAGCAAGTACTGAGTACTTACCTACACCAGGCACTGCACTGAGCGGTTACATTAACTGTCACAGCAACCTCATGGGGTAAGTGCTATGATTATCCCCACCTTACAGGTGAAGTAACTGAGGCACAGAGAGGTTCAGTCATCTGCCCACAGTCGCAGAGCTAGCATGGGGTGGAAATGGGACTTGGTCCTCAGCCGACTGGATCTGGAGTCTCGGGCTCCTGAGCACGGGGCTTGCTTCCTCACTACGTAACAGATGATGGGGGATAGTTCACATTTTGCCGACATTCTATCACAATTTGTGTAGGGTGACAGTCCTGGTGGCTAAGGTGCTGACTCTTTAGAGTTCAACGTATGCTGCAAGAATGGAGGTTTTCAGTGGCTTAAACAAAGTGTGGAACAGCTGGACTCATCCCACAGCACAGAGGCCCTTACTCAGATGCTGCCAAACCCTGTTCACATGGAAGGTTCAGGGACCGCATTATCACTGGCCCTCCCCAGGTCCAGGCATATTATTTGTCTATTGAGTCATCTTTATTCTTTTCTCGGTGGCCCGTGCCAATGCCACACAAGCCCCATTGTGAGCCTAAGTACAAACTTGGGCCCTGGAATTTGGCAGAGGTATGTGGTGATAAAGTGATCGTTCAGATGAGTCCCAAATGCTTTTAGACCAGTTATTTCAGATCATCATCACAAGGAAAGACAATTTAAAAATTCTTACGGAGAACAGCTTGAGAGCCCAAAGATTTCTGGAGACCCCCAGGGATGCACTGGCTAGTTTGTGAAGCACTGTTAGAAGCAGTGGAGAAAGAGAAGAGAGTTTAAGGTAGAGGAACCAGCATGTGCCAAACAGGACAGAGCCTGGCTCTTAGGAGGAAGGCAAAGAAACTCACTGAGATTCTAGAATACGCATAGATTAGGCAATAGCCAGATCCAGAAGGGACCTTTCAAGGCACGTTAGAGTGTTAGGGCTTGATTCAGAAGGACCCACTGAAAATGTCTGTAGGTTGCAAATAACAAGGACCAGTTCTCATGGTTATCAGTTATGCCCAAATGCCTCTAACTTAGGGGTGCATCATAAATACTTGGAATGGCATAGATAAAATTCA